AAATTGTGTTTTTTGTCTTTTCGCCCCTGCTAAGTCATGTTAAAGTCACCATTGATGGTCACGATCTCCTTTAGGCAACTTTTGTTTAACTGGCACCTTTAAACTACTTAACTAGATATATTATTTGCTAAAGCCTCATTAGTCCTTTTTTGCTTCTTGTGTCTTCGAGACCGTTCTAAGGCTTCAAACCTATCGCCAATGCTTAATTTTGGAGTAGAGTCTTGAACTTTAATGTCGGTAAACGTGTGGCTGATGTGGCTAAATTAATTCTTTTGCGCTTATCAAGGTGGCGATTCCTGTTGTCGTGGATCACTCCGATGACGCTCAAGTTACGGAACTCTTCGCGCGTATTCGGCGCGAACAAAGAGGCCGTCTTGATATTTTAGTGAACAATGTCTACGCAGGCGTTGATACTCTCGCATCTCCACCGACGAAAAATCGAAAGTACTGGCACATGTCTGACGATGAGACACCCGCTTCTCTTTGGGATGCCGTCAACGGAGTTGGCCTCCGCAACCACTACATCTGTTCCGCTCTTGCTACTCGCATGATGCTGGAATACCGCGACGAGTTGGAAGACGGTGATGATAAAAAGGCACCTAAAAAGGAGCCTCGTCCAGGCATAATTTTCAACATTTCTTCAATCGGAGGTCTGCGTTACGCTTTTGCTGCTGTTTATGGCATCGGCAAGTCAATTCCCTGTTGCTTATACTGTACCAAATCATTTTCCCATGCGATTTCACTTAACATGTGTCATAGCAGTCATGTCAGTCTACTGCACTTCCTATCCTCAAGATTTTCTCTGCCGTTTTCGTGCTCTAAATAAAATATTTCTGTGCCTTTTGCAGAATCGTTCACCACGTTTGTTGCCAGTCGTTTTCGTCTTCTTCTGCCTTTATTTCTGCTCGTAATTTCACTTTATATTGTTAATTGGTTTCTCTGTTAGAGGATGTCTTTAGTTCCTTTAACGTTGTGTGCGCAAACCAGTAATCAGTGCCGCGGTTGTAGTTTAGAGCATAAATCACCGAAGCACAATATCGTGAGCACTTAAAGACTGTGTTGCCAAAGTGTTTTGCATCTTGTGCGGAACCATGCCGACTTCTTTTGTGACGAGTAGTCTCGATCACTTGAAATCGTTTGTGAGCTGAGGTGTAGTTTTGCATTGCTTGACTGCTTGTTACCTGTACTCTTATTGAACGACTCTTTTGGTGTGTGAGATTATGCATGTGATTTCGCCCTACTTTGTGTTCATTGTTTGTCTTTTTTTGTAATGCAGGCAAATGCGCCGTTGACCGGATGTCTTCTGATTTGTCGACCGAATTGGAGTCTTGCGGGAAGAGCGTCTCCGTGATGTCAATTTGGCCTGGTATTGTGCGAACAGAACTGTTGATGAAGTACGCTAAGAAGGCCGGTGACGCCTTCCCCTTCGACGTCAACACTCACTGTAAGTTGATAACATCATTGTGCATAAAGAATTGAGTTTTGAAACCGTCGGCACGGCGTGCCTGTTGTGGAGTTTCTTGGTGTGGCTGAATTAGCCAGCAATATTTCCTCATTTCGTGTTTTAGCCGAATCACCGGAGTTCACAGGTCGCGTGTTGGCGGAAATCGCGAAGGAATCGCGGGCCGATATAATGTCGCGTTCTGGTCGCGTGTTCGTCGTAGCCGACGTTGCTTCCTCGAAGGGCATCACGGACATCGATGGACGCTCGCCGTTGAGTTTTCGTTCATACAAGTATGTCCTGTCGGCTTTCAACTGGGTGTCTTTGAATATCGATTAGACATGGCAGTCGTTATTGAATGTTTCGGATTGACCTTTATGTGTGTTAATGGAGTCAACGTGTCTAACCTGGTGGTAGCATCGCTTCTTCCACCTCTCCAAAGCCATTTAGAACAAACCTCTTTTGCTTGTTTGAGCT